GTTCATCGCGTGCAAGGCGACCGTTCATCGCGTGCAAGGCGACAGTTCATCGCGTGCAAGGCGACCGTTCATCGCGTGCAAGGCGACCGTTCCCTTTATCACTGCCCCACTCCTGTTCCCCTCATTTCTTTCCCAAAGAAAGTACAAGTGTACCCTTTCAAACTGTTTCCTGTGCATTTTAATATGTGTCTCAGCACCCAAAGAAATTAACATATTGTTTCGTTTATGTTTTTTCGTAACCAAATAGCATAATAATATCCATGTTGGAGAAATGTCCATTCCAGTACATGTAGCCCTACCTCATTCATTTCTTTCTCTTTGTGAGTTTATCAGTCTTATGTCTCCTGTGGGTTGCCTGCTCATTCCCACTGCCCAATTTTTAAAAATTGTGATAAAATATAACATAAAATGTACCATCTTCACCATTTTTAAGTACACATTAGGTAGCGTTGAGTACATTCACATTGTTGGGTAACCATACCCACTATTCTCTTCACCAGAATTTTTCCATCATCCCATCGTGAAACCGTATCCTTTAAGCAGTGACTTCCCATTCTCCTTGATCCCCAGACCCTGGAAACCACTGTCCTACTTTCTGTCTCTGAGTTTGACTCTGTATCTCACAGAAGTGGGATCATACAGTATTTGTCCTCGTGGGTCTGGCTTATTTCACTCAGCATAGTGTCCTTGAGGTTCATCCACGTTGTAGCATGGGTCAGAATTCCATTCCTTTTTAAGGCTTCGTATGAATAATACCCCATTGTGTGTACACACTGCATTTTGTTTGTCAATTCATAAGTCAAGAAACATTTGGGTTGTTTCCACCGTTGGCTATTGTGAATAATGCTGCTGTGGGCATGGGTGTACAAATATCTACTCATGTCCCTGCTTTTAATTCTTTTGGGTATATACCTAGAAACAGAATTACTGGATCAGATGGTAATTCTGTTTAATTCTTTTAAGGGCTTGCCATACTGTTTTACAGGGCAGAGGTACCATTTTGCATTCCCCCCAACAGTGCACGCAGGGCTCCAGCTCTCCCACATCCTTGCCAGTACTTATTATTTAGTCTGTCTTTTTGATAGTAGCCATCATGGGTGTGAAGTGATCATCTCATTGTGGTTTTGATCTGCATTTCCCTACTGGTAAGTGATGCTGAGTAGGAGTTTTCATGTGTTTCTGGCCATTTGTATTATTGTGGTTTTTTTGTGTTTGTTCCTGTTTTATAAATGTCTACTCGAGTCCCTTGTCCATGTTTGAATTGGGATGTCTGCATTTTTATTGTGTTTCGGGAGCTCTTAATATGTTCTGGATATCAATCCCTTATCAGATCTGTGATTTGCAAACCTCATTCACTTTCACCGTTGCACAGTATCCATAACATCAAGATATTATTATTTAGCTATTTGCCTCCAGGGCCTTGTTGTCATAAACAGGCGACAGTGAATGTTCTTGTTTGTGCCCATAGTGCACACAAGCCTGTGTTTCCCTAGCGTAGATCCTGGGAGAGTCAAATTGCTAGGATATAAATTGTAGGATATGAAAAGTAGTAGACAGTGCCACATCGCCCCACAGCATTTTAGGCAAAATTAGGCTAAGAGGGACTTAAAATTTTCCTTCAGAGGAAAAAAGCTAACTGACAGGCTGCCTGAGGCGCATAGGAGGAAGAAGAAGAAGGGAAGTACGGTTGCCTTCTTAATGGGCTCCCTTTGTTCTGGAGGGTAAAGGTCTGACACCAGGCTATGTCTGCCCCGTTAAGACGAGCCTCAGGACTTAGCACTGGCTAGCAGGGCTGCTGCTTCTCCCCAGGTTACCACCCCGAGTCACCACCACGTTCAGGTAGGGATGGAGGTGGCATTGCTCAGAACCTCCCGAGTCAGAGCCAAAGGAATGTCTCAAGTTCACTAAGTGCAAATCAGAAGAAACAGGCTAGCTTAGTTTTCCCGGAGTTAGTTGAACTTGGGAAGCTGCCCTGTGGTGGCGGGCCCCTGTATTTTTATCTCCCGCATTCTAGCAGTACTGGCCCAGTGAAATATACTGTGGAAGGGAGCGGGCAAGATCAGGAATCAGCGAACTATGGCACGTGGGCCACGTCTGCGCCACTGCCTGTTTTTGTCAATAAAGTTTTATTGAAACAGCCGTGCCCATTTACTTGCTCTTTACGGCTGCCCTGGTGTTACAGCGGCAGAGTTGAGTAGTTGCTGCAGAGCCCGCAAAGCCAAAAATGTCCCCTGTCTGACCCCTGACTGAAAAAGTTTGCCAACCCTTGATCGAGCTGTAATTATAATATAAACTCATAAGCCCCTCACACTTCTATTTTTGTTCATTAGGCTTGATTCTACTTATGACTGAAAAGTAAACTCAGGGGTGCCTGAGTGGCTCAGTCAGTTGAGTCTCTGGTTCTTGGTCTTGGCTCAGGTCTTGATCTCACAATCATGAGTTTGAGCCAAGCGTTGGGCTCTGTGCTGGGCGTGGAGCCTACGTAAAAAAAGGAAAAGAGAAAAAAAAAAAGGAATGGAAAGTAAACCACTCAGCAGCCCCCTTCAGGCTGCCATGTATGACTTGCTGTTTTACCATGATAATCAGAAACTCCAGGGAGACAGACACAGGTGAAGGCCCTGTGGCCTCAGAGAGAGTCCTGTAGAGGGGAATCAAGCACTGAGTGTGGGTTGGACTAGGTAAATGTTTAAGGGCTCTCCTGCCCTCAGAACTGTGAGTAAAAACCATTTGATTCACTAGGAATCTTGCAACAATTTATATCGATGATGGAAATTCAAATAGCTGCAATCAGTTACTTCGTTTAAATGCTACAGGCTCATGAAAAATCACGTTCATTCAGGAAACACACAGTGCCTAACAGCCCTCTAAGCCTTGGGAAAGACTACAAAGAGGAATACTGAAAGAGCTATAGTCCCAAGATGAGTTTTACAGTGAGATGCTTAATTAACTTTGGTACGTTGTGCGGGGCAGGTTCCCTGGTTTCTTGTGCTAGTGATGCAATCTAATAATTGCATTACCTTTTTGGTTCCCAGCTCTGTCCTGCCAAGAAGTCACCGATGATGAGGTCTTAGATGCAAGCTGCTTGTTGGATGTCTTAAGAATGTACAGATGGCAGATCTCTTCATTTGAAGAACAGGTGAACACCCCATTCAAAATCCTGCCCGCTAATGCGCCGGGGCCTGAGCTGGCAATGACGGCTGGAAACTAGCCTCGTTGCTGCCGCGTGAGGAATAAATGCCAGTGTTGACCTTGTACTTGCCTGGCCCGAGTGTACATTTCTGGAGCAGTTTAGGATTCTGGGACAGGATCACAAACTTTGTTCCTGTTCTCCCGACCAGAGGAGGAAGACAGCTGTTTTTCTTTCTGTTTTGTTTTTTTTTTTTTTACCCGGGGAGTGGCAAGATTAGCAGGATAGGGTTTGGACAGTTGCCAAAGAGCGAGCCTCCTTTTCGTCCTCGAGTGACGTTGCACTTGATCACCTGGGTCCTTCAGAGAGCAGCAGGTGGCTTTACCTTAGAAGCTTAGAGGTTCAGGTGAGACCCTTTTTTGAACCATACCCTCGTTTTAAAAAAAAAAAAAATCGTTTTTCGAGGCTAGATTACTTGAAGTGGCCCCCGACCTTGAGCAGCCGTCATGAGCAACCCCAGGGCCTTACGCCAGCCCCTTGTACCCCCTTTCCTGCAACTACAGATTCACTGCCTCTTTTGGTCCTGACCACCCTCCTCCTCCTCAGACCGCTAGTATGGACGGTGAGTCTGAGGCCGAAGCTGAGACAGTGAAGTTGTAGGGACAGGTCATTTAGCTTCCAGTGATGTGCAGGTACGTCCTCCCTGGCCACACTCCCAGGCCAGCTTTGGCCAGCTTTGTGTTGGCTGCTTCTGCCTCCACCATCCAGACACTGGACCCAAGAAATGGGAGACGGCCTTTAGGCTCCCAAAAGGGTGGGACAGGAGTGAAAAGCATTTAGAAATGCTGGAAAGTGAGGTGGGAAGGCTCTCCAGCTCCCCTTATTTTATAAAGACTACCTCTGTTTCCATTTTAGTCTGAAGCCACGTAGGTGTTCCTTTTTAAACATGGTGTTGAAGGTATCAACTTTCTTACAAGGCATCTCGATGAATCCCTTGTATATTGAAATGTTTTTCCATTTAGAAAATACTTATTAAATCCTCCTCTGGTAGTTGCCATGATTTAGCTGCGTTTTCCTCTCTCTAACCTGAGAGAGTGACTGCGATTTAGTCCCAGGGACATCGGATACCTTGTCTAAGTCCCGCTCTTCTGTCAAGGACCCACTGACGTGCCAGTTCCTCCGGGCAGTGTTTCCAGCAGCCTGAGCCTGCAGCAGTCACTGAGCCCCGCAGCTGTAGCGGTCAAGGGAAAGAGGCATGGCTGGCTGCTGGCCTCTGCCTCTCTGAAGGCAGCCGGAGCTTCTGGCCCGGGGCCTTGTCCACATCTTCGTTATTCCTGATCTTGTCAGTCAACGGCAGACACTTTCCAGTGTCTGGAGCCAGAGCTGTGGGGCAGGTATCGGGCCAGGTGCTTGCCTCGTGTGAATTCTCTGAGTTCATCCTCACGGCAACCCTGTAAGGTCTCACTGTTACTGTTCCCGTCTTGCAGATGAGAACACTGAGGTTCAGAGAAGCCCAAAGTCACACAGCTCCTTAAGTGGCAGAGGCAGGATTCGGGCCACTCGTGCTAAAGTGCACAGCAAAGCTCCACCCTCTTCTTCGAGGCATTCCTTTTGTCAAGGCCAAGTAGTTCCATGGCCGACAGTGATGGAATAGGGTTTGGGTCTGACTCCAGGCTGTCTTGGGATTCTTCTCCCTGGGGAACCCTTGCTCCTGCTTCAGATGCCTTGTCTGTGAGCCTCCTGGAAAAGCTGGTCCCCTTTCAGGCGGTAGCACCACCACTAGATAAATAGCCAGGCGGCCCCATCTACCCCTGGGTTGTGCGTCCCACGAGGGCCTTGCCTTATTTATCTTTGAACCTTCCATCACTCTCTTGCTAACTGCCGTTCGTGGCCTAGGAGGGGATTCTTGTATATGGGCCTCAAATGTTTATGGAATGCCTGCCTCAGGCGGGGCCCGTTGAGGGCCTGGGCTTGTGGTGGCAAACAGGACTTGCAGGGCTCCTGCTCACAGGGAGCTCCCATTCTAGTGGAGGACTGTGGACAGTAAAGGGGTCCCGAGAAGACAAGCGTGCTGATGGGCCAGTGTGAGTGTGGGGGGCCTGGAGCTGGGGTGAGGGGCAGAAAAGCAGTGGGGAGACTCCTTCAGGTAGGGAAGGCGCTTCTGGAGATGCGAGGTTTTTGCTGAGACCTGAAGTCTGAAAAGAAGGGAGGCCTGTGAGGAGCTGGGTGCAGAGTGTTCCAGACGGGACCGCGCAGGGTGAGACCTTAAGGATGCCGCGTTGGGGAAGGGCAAGGGGGCAGCGTGGCTGTGACCAGGGGCAGGAGGGCAGCGGAGGGGAGGGGCTCAGGCCGCGGCAGGTGGCAGATCGTGCAGGGCCCCAGGCGCTCTGCGCCAGAGCTGGGCTTCTGCTCTGTGTGCAGCGGGGACCCACTGGCAGCCTTGTACAGGGACTGATGTGACCTGGTCCGTGTGTGAACAGGGCCTGCTGTCCCGGAGGGACTGTAGTGGGCAGAGGGAGCAGAGAGGAGGGTCAGGAGGGCGGCTGATGGCCTGGCTCAGACTGGGGTTGAGGCAGGGGGATGGAGAGTCCTCAGGATTTGGGGTGTGTGCTGGAGGTGGCTGCACCGGCAGGAGGTGGCCGGCGGGGGTGGGGGGTCGGCTTCTTATGTCAGGGAGGGTCCTTGCAGGAGGGTCTCCTTCAGGATGTGCCTTCTCAGCAGAAATTTGAAGGATGAGAAGGAGACAACTGTGTGAAGATGGGGGCGGGCTCCTCAAGCCAGGGTGCGGAAAGAGCAGGCCCTGAGATGGGAGTATGCGTGCTGGCTCGCGGGGCGGGAGGAGGCCGGGTCGCAGGCCTGGTGAGCGAGGCAGGGAGCGCGAGGGGCCACATCACGTCTTTGGGCTTTGTAGGCTGGCTGGGGGTGGGGACTTACCCACCAGGGAAGGCACTGGGAAGTTGAAAGCGGAAGAGTGAAGGCATCTGCCTCTTAAAAGATCACCCTGGTGACTGCAGGGAGAGCATAACGGGGGTCAGTGCCTCCAGAATTCAGGGGAGGAGAGACCCACCCATCTCAGAAGAGTGAGGGATGGCTTTGGCTTTTGGGGAGAGCAGCCCCCTGCCATATGATGCAGCAATTCCACGTCCGGGTGTATGCCCAAAAGAACTGAAAGCCAGGACTCCAGCCGATACTTGTCCACCCATATACATAGCCGATCATTCACAACAGCCAAAAGGTAGAAGCGGCCCGGTGTCCAGCAATGCACGAATGGGTAAACAACATGCGGTGTGTGTGTGTGTACACACATGCAGTAGGATATGTATACGTGTGCGTACTTATGTATTCATATACACACACAATGGAATATTTTTCAACTTTACAAAGGAAGGAAATTCTGACACGTGCTATACCGTGGATGAGCCTTGCAGACATTGAGCTCAGTGCAGTAAGCCAATCACGGAAGGACAAACACTGTATGATTCCTTATCCAAGTTTCCACAAGTGGCCCAATTGCTGGAGACAGAGAGAGGTGGCCACCAGGGGCTGAGGGAGGGGGATGGGGAGTCAGTATTTAATGGGGACAGAGTTTCGGTTGGGGAAGCTAGAGAAGTTCAGAGGATGGGTTGTGCTGATGGTCACACAACAGTGTGAATGTACTTAACCCAGCAGGAGTGTATGCTTAAAAATGGTTAAAATGGCAGCTTGGGCATTGTGTGTGTACTTTACTGCAATAAAAAAGGAGTAGTCCGGTGGCGTGGAGGCCAGGGCCATGTTGACAAAGCTGAAACAGGCTCAGTCAGAGACAGCTGGTGTGAAGGCAGTGCTTCCCCCCCGCCCCACCGCTTGCTTTCCTTCTCTCTCCCTTTGGGCCCCTTAGTTGAGGGCCTTTGTCGAGAAAATGTCTGGGATATAAATTTGCATTTAATGGGCCGAACCTTGAGAAGATGGAGAGCAGGGGTGCCTGGGTGGCTCGGTCAGTTAAGTGGCTGCCTTTGGCTTAGGTCACGATCCTGGGGTCCTGGGATCGAGCCCCGTGTCGGACTCTCTTCTCAGCGAGGAGTCTGCTTCTCCCTCT